TCTCCCCCACTTTGCCTATGGGGGTGTGTCAAACTATATGTGCTGCATATTGTCTAGGCTGTAGTGGGGTAGCCCATATGGGGTACAACCCAATTAGGGTTTACTACTTGTACTCCTGCATCCTGTTAGTTCATTCATTCCTACTGCTAGATTCTGACAAGTCTGGACAGCCCGCGGATGTCCCGTTAATGGACTCATGGGACGTGTGGTGAGCAGATAAAGTCCAACCATAAACGCAATCTACGATCAATCTTCAAATTATATGCCTGCAAGCATGCAAACTGAATTCATTTCGGAAAAAAAAAAATGAAAATTATTATTTTTTTACAAACTGTCTTCACACAGGGTTGATAAGGTAACAACCTCGTTTTGCCCAGAAACTTGATTCCTGAACCACGTTGCTTCAAATCACAACATCTGCGCTTTCCCCTCTCCCCCTTCCTCCCCTTGGCCCTTGTCCTCCTCCTCCTCGTCGTCGTCAAGAGCGCCCTTAGCCAGCAGCTCCTTGACTCGCTTGAACTCATCATAGTGCCGCCTCCTGTGCTCCTCAAAGTCCTCCTCGCCTGTGCCGCCCCCCTCACTGCCACCCTCCCCGCCTGGCAGTGGGTTTTGGGGTGGCGGGTGGGTGTGAGGTGGAGTAAGATGGAGGAAGGGGTGAGCAGAAGGGAGGGATGGCGGAGGGAAGGAGGAGGAGAGAGATGAGCGGGAAGCGGGTGGAAAACAGGAAGTCAGATATATGTACATATACACATATATATATACATAAATACATAAATGGGTCAGAGGGGAGAGGCATGGGGGTTCAATTGGAGAGGAGCATACCAGCATTAGCACGGAAGGTGTCAGGATCAAGCGTTTGGCCACGCTCGTGCATCCAGCCTGAGGGGGACGACAGCCAGGAGAAAAGTTGGGGATTTCCGGGGAACATGAGAAACAGTTGGGACCAGGGAGCCTGGGTGGCAGGGTGGAGGTAGGCACATGGCGTGTGCATCCAGGAGTGCGAGACGAAGGGAACGGAGCTATGGGTGATTGTGCGAGCCAAGGATCTGTGCCTTCAGTTGCATGGAAGTGAGGCGTTGGACCAGGATGTTGAGAAACGTGCAACCAGGAAGCCACTGTCCACTGAACACACAAATCCAACCTGCAACCGTTCCATACTACCCCCAGCTATCCTCCTCTATTCCATCACATACCAATTCCTTCCCGTCCTCGTTCGTTTTTCACTCAAATTCTCATCCCCGGCAAACAAGGCTCCGAACATTGTTTTTTTCCCTTCTATTCTTGGTTCCTTTGCTGTTTGGACATCTCAAAGCTCTTCAGCCGCTGCCCTCACCTACCGCCCACCCACTCACGTTCAAAATCTGCCTTGTCACATGCACTGTCAGCAGATGACGTCGCAGCAATCTCTGCCAGCTTAGCCTGGATGACGTCAGCCTGGGCTGCAATGCTGTGAGAAGGGTCGGGTGCGGGCAGCAGCACGGGGGAGAGAGCAGCCGCTGGGCAGGGGAGGAGGGAGACGGGGATGAAGGGGGAGAGCTCAGAGAGGGGAAACAAGGGGGAGGTGGGACAGAGAAGGGATAGAGTATGAGGGGGTGGATCTGGGGAGGCTTTGAGGTTACTGGATTGAATGGTTAGTGCGGAGAGGAGGGGAAGGAGAAAGAGGGGAGGAGGGGGGGATGATGTGTTGAAACGAGGGGGAGATGGGAGGTGAAGGAAGGAGGAGCAGCAAAGCAATAGAACACAGCGAGGCGGGAGAAAGCATGTGGCACGGGAGAGGGCATGGGGGTAGGGACGGTACGGACCTACCTGAGGGTCGAGGGAGAGCTGGTGGAAGGGGACGTGATAATAGCATGTTTTTGAAACGTCTCAAGAACAATTCATCATCACGTGGCAGTGCGGTACGGACCTTCCTCTGGGTCGAGCGAGAGCTGGTGGAAGGGCGTTTTGGGCTCGTCGATGGTCATGGTGGCGCTCTTGTGCTCCTCGTTGTACGTCAGATTGCCCTCGTCCCACTGCACCTTGCGCCTGGTGCCACGCCATCATGCGCGCACGCACGCACACACGCATGCACGCATGTATGCGCAGGGCACGTGCACGTGCACGCATAGGCACGATTGCGCACAATCGCGCATGGATTTTCATGGCAATCGGAAACACGCATGGAGGCTCGTCATGCACACACGCACAAACACGCGCACATACATACACATACCCCCCTCACCCCCACTCGCACACACACACGCACGGAAAGTTTCGTGGTTGCAGGATGCGTGCAAGAAAACAAGAAGACGGAGGACGGACGTGCACGGGACTACCCTGACGAGCGAGCCAGAGCGCGAGCCACAGAGGTAAACGACGCGCGGGCAAGATAAGGGAGGGAGGAACGGCTAATAGCCGAGGTTCTGAAGGGTTGAGGGTGGCGCGGGATGACGAGGAAGGCAGGTGCGGTGCGGTGAGGCGAAGAGGAGGGGCGCGAAAGGAGGTTGAGATCCCTGTGAGATCTCTGTGGGGTGTTCCTAGCACTACTCCATACCCGGCCTATGTGCTACATTCCCTCGCAGGCCCCTCCTCCCTTTCATCCCGCCCATCCGTACCGCGGTTTCTTCTCTTTCGAGCCGTGCGCCAGCCCGCCCCTTCTATCCGCCATACCCTCGTGCTCCTCGCCCTGGTGGTCCGCCATTAGCAGCGTCTGTGGAGTAACGCCTGCTAAAGGTCGTGCGAAGTGAAAAGGAACTGCGGGGCAGATGCGTTGGTTCTGGCGGTCAAACTGCTCCCGTTCCGTTGACGAAACGTCGCACAAAAATGCACTTCACTCGTCGTCGTGAAAAATAGCTGCCGTGTCTCAAGAAGGCGCTATAAAGTAATTTTTTAAAAAATGAGTTTCTAGAATGGTATGGCATTGTGTGGTGGAGATTTTAGAAAGTTGTTGGTTCAGTTGGTCACCACCGAGCAACTGAATTGGATTGCTGATTGGTTGTGCCACTGTTTGCCATGACAGGGATGGCGAGGACTGGCTCCATACGCGATGAAGTAATTTCAGAGGCAAGGGTGAGTCGCATGGAGGAAATCTCGATAAGTGTCACCAATTTGCTAAGTCGCGTGCCTCATGCAACTTGAGCATTTTAGTGCTCGCTTTATGTTGCACGTCACTAGTTAGCTAGATTTGTCTCAGTTTTTGTGGTGAAAATTTATGAGTGAAAATTGCACTAATTACAAATAGATTTAGACAATTTCACGCATTTAAGCACCGGGGACGAAGTTGGTGGCATAGGCCCAGGCGTTGTTGATGGAGGGCTCAGCCAAGTGGTCGTTGAGGTTCTCCAGGGGAGACTTGCCGGTGACGATGGCCTGGACGAAGAAGCCGAACATGGACACCATGGCGAGACGGCCGTTCTTGAGCTCCTTCACCTTGAGCTCGGCGAAGGCATCGGGGTCGTCAGCCAGGCCGAGGGGGTCGAAGTTGCCGCCGGGGTAGATGGGGTCCTCAACATCCTGGAAGCCATCGAGGCCACCAACGCGGTAGCTCTCAACGGCACCCATGAGGAGCACCTGGGTAGCCCAGATGGCGAGGATGGACTGGGCGTGGATCAGGGAGGGGTTGCCGAGGTAGTCGAGGCCGCCCTCAGAGAAGATCTGGGAACCAGCCTTGAACCACACGGGCTCGCCGAAGTCGAAGGAGCCAGCGAGGAGCTCAGGGGTGAGGCAGCCCAGAGCACCGAGCATGGCCCAGCGGGCGTGGATGACCTCCAGCTCGCGGTTCTTGGCGAAGGTCTCGGGGTCCGAGGACAGACCAGCGGTGTCCCAGCCGTAGTCACCGGGGAACTCGCCGGTGAGGTAGGCGGGGGTCTGGGAGGAGAAGGGGCCCAGGAACTTGGGGCGGTCGGGGCCGTACCTGAATGTACAGGAAAACGAGAATTAAAATGAAGCCAAGAGAAATGACGAACACGAACAGTAGCGAGGGGGAGCTCACACACATACGAATTAGGTGCTTACCAGTTGCTCTCGGGGGCGCTCTTCACAGTGCGCCTCATGGTGACACGGGCCTGGGAATTGCCGACGGACTTGGCCAACTCGGAGGTCTGGCCGACGAAGACGCTGGAGAACACAGCAGATTGGGCGACGGCAGCCATGGTGACGGAGAACAGGAAATCGGAGGTGAAGGAGAGCTGATTGTTGGCACCACAGAAATCCTGTTAACGATTGTGAAACGCTTGAAGTGGCGAATAAATAGTAGAAGCCGCTTTGTTGGGCTGGTGGGTTGGTTGCCCAAAGGGTTGGAACTTCGAAAGGGCTCGTCGACATGGCATCGCATGACAGGCTGAGAGTACCACCAGAAGATCTCACAATCAAACCCAACCAATCATTGGATAGAAACTATTTCACGACACGGAATTTCAGTGACGTGGCAGACACCAGGGCATTGCGGAACCTTGCTGAGGAGTTTCACATCGGTGCAAGGACTGGTGAGATTCCGAGGTGATGGTCCTCCGGAACTTCCGGAACTTCCGGTGCACTTTACTCCATCTTGGGCCGGAATGATGTTTCTGTATTAGGCTGCATGATATGTAACAAATCAAGCACACCTAAATCTGCTACACTATAGAATGCTGTATTTGCAATTAAAATTAACCTCTATGTCTACACAAATATTGAAGCCGATGGTTTAACCGAAGACATCAAATCATTTAAACCATGAAGAACGTGTTAACCAGTATAATAAATAGATCGCCCGAAATGGCAGTGTTTTTGGGGACTTCTGATCCTTCGTAAGTTCTATGAGATTTTCCGTTGATTAAACATTTATGCAACACGAGTTATATTATTTTGTTTGTCAGGCTGCATAATCCAATTCGTACAAACCCACAATGGCGCTGACATCGTTCAACAGGACTTAGCAAGTCCTTGTGCCTCTTGGCTCTCTTGCTCTTGCTCGACTCAACACCTATTCAAGCCCAGATGTCCATGCTCCTCGTACCACCACTCTTCGTCCTCCATTGCCGATGGTTCAAATCAAACGCCGTGCCATCCGCATCGCGTTGCATCTCCAGCAACCCGAATTACTGCGTCCATCAACATCCTCTTCTCCTTCTCCCTTCCTTCTGACTGCACCGCTTGTGTCCGCGAAGCTGGGGGATACCATCGCAGCGTTGTACGGGACAGAAGGCCTCGTCTCGTTCTCCACTGTCGACGGTGAGAGATTCCCTCCTTCGTCAACCCTGCGTACTCGTTCTCGAGCCTACCGCGCAGTGTCCCAATTTCGGTGTCCCTCCCTTTCGTTCCGCCTGCTTGCAGTGGTGTTCATCGAGCGTAACAGTGTAACCACTCGCTTCATCGTGCGCTGTCCCCGCTCGTTCCTTCCTTGTATGCGCACGGCCATCGCTGCCATACGTTCCATCCAAGATTGTCCCGTCTCTGCAGCCATCGAACATGTATCAGGTGTGTCTCCGTCTGTTCAGTGAAATTGCAAGCGACATGACGGCATGCTTTACCCGATTATACGCGTTTCATCGGTAATTATCCATGTGATTTATACCACACCATGTCATGCCTTACCCTCTGATATGCATTTCAGTGTTGCACGTCCATCTCCATACCATGTAATGGCATTCCTGCTACCGCATACAGCAGTGACTGAACTGCTGCTCAACTACTCTGGGTTCACTCATACGTTGATGTGGAAAACTCGTTATCTCTGCATCCTTGTGTAAATGCCATGATGCACACCTCCATTGTTCTATGCCGGATGCCACCAAACATACCATTCTTGTCAATGCAGGGGGCTGGGAAGGCAAGCGGGATCTGACCATTGCACCTTGAGGTATGCTATGCATGGGTGCAAATTCTTGCACTGCTAAGTACAGATGTGGATGTACGAGTTGGTGACCGCTGAAAGACGTTCTCACTTAGGGCCTGGACTATTTACTTGGTTGTTGCAAAGATGTTGCAATCTATGCATACTGTAGTGCATCTGTTCATCTTTGAAGCCATTGGTGTTCATGTTATTCAGGTATAGAACATCCCTAAACACTCCATATCAAACATCCCTATATCGTTTGGGGATATAGGGAGTTCCTGAACATCCCTAAACACTCCATATCAAACATCCATTTAGGTGGAGCAAACGAAGCACCTGAATGGAGTTCCTGTTTGGAGCAAATGCCCGCTGGCATTCCCGCTGGCTGCCCGCACAACGAAGACGCTAAACCGTACTGCATCGGATTGAACACACAGTAGCGTGCTCAACCCCTCACAACGATGTTCTTGAGTGCTTTTTTGTACCTAAGTGTCCCCAATACTCTCATCAGGAACATCTGTTCCGTCCACGTGTTAGCATTTCATAAGGATATCACCGCAGATCGCGATTGGTTGCATGCAACGCAGAGCGCAGCGGTGCTGACGATCCCTCGGAGGGAGGATATATACAAAAGCGGTGCGACGAACCGCGAATGGCGAATAACTGAAGTTGAGACAATTCTTGGAGCGAGGGAGAGGAGGTGACAAATATGGATGATCATATATCGCTGCTCTCAATCAAGAGGAGCAATTAGGGGAGTGGAATTGAGACGAGTTTGCGAGATCGATAGAGATAGAGAGAGGGAGTCGCCTTTCGTGGCATCGCGCCCTGCCATGGCAGCCTCGCGCCGAGCCACGTCATGCCGCGAAGCAGCTGCCTCGCGCATGTCGCACGGGCTGCGCCCTCTTTCGGATCATCCAGCGCGACCCACACGGCGCCACGCACACACGCCGTAACCAACCAGCTCTGCTCGAGTGCCCGTTGCTGTCCCTGCTGCTTTTTCTCACCTTTCCTCGCCTCTTCTCGCCCCTCCTCGCCACTCCTAGCCTCCCCTCGCCCCTCGCCCGTCTCACACTCCCCGGCCACGGAACGGAGAACGGAGCTCGAGCCAGTTAGAAGATATTGGCGCATGCTCTCTCTTCTCGTCGTGCCTTACCGTTTTGCAGTTTTCCCGACTGTTGCAGTCGCTCCCACCGGGCCAATCACGCAGCTAGAGAGGGTCAGAGCTTGGTTGTATTTCGCAGATTCGAGAGCGCTCGCCGGAGATTGTTCGATCTGAGAAGAGAGCGTTGAGCCGAGCCGAGAGCGGAGGGTGCGGGGATTGCATGAGACCAGAGGTTGCATCCATGGCCAACACTGGCGCCGCTGCGCCGCGTCACTCTGTGACCGTGGCTCCCGGCACTCCCGTGACGTGGAGGCGTCCAGTCATGACGGACGACCTGTCCAGCTACGTGGACAAGCCACGTAAGCAGCTGCTGTTGGGAATTCCATTCGTTCACCCCTTCACATTATTCTGTCAAGCAGTCAGGCATCTTGCAGTATTGTCATTAATTACAGGTGCCTCATGCTGCACGAAACGAAACCGTTCATCCTGCATTTCTCTGCTATTTATCTCACAACCCCAACCCACCCTCCCCCTTCTCTGTCCCTCTGTCCCTCCTCCTTGTCGATACGCTTCATGCAGATTTGCCCCGTGCGGAGGTTGCAGCGGACAGGGAGCACCCGAACGGGTCCAAGGGCCATGTGACAGGCGGCATGACGGTGCTGCAGCAGCACTTCGCTTTCTTTGATCGCAACAACGACGGCATCATCTACCCGTGGGAGACCTATGAAGGTGGGTGTCCTGTCTTGGACGGCCTGAGAGTGCTTGCTGTGTTTTCTTTTTATGTCAGAAGAATCTGGTTGCTCATCTGTTCATTTTCTGCTTGCCTGCTTTGCCCAATGGCAGGATTCCGTGCTGTTGGTTTCAACATGCTGTTGTCCTTCCTGGGCATGCTCATCATCAATGGCAGCTTCAGCTATTTCACCCTTGATGTGCGTACATAGGTTCTTTGAATATCCGTTTTATCTTTCCTTCTTCTAGTCTCCCAAACACTGCTGTGCTCATCTTCTGGTATGCCACTCTTGTCTTGTGCAGGGGTGGATTCCGTCTCCGTTCTTCCCCATATACATCCGCAATGCCCACAAGGGCAAGCACGGCAGTGACTCGGAGGTGTATGACACTGAGGGCAGGTGGGCATGCATGGCATAGCATGGCACCCAAACCACCTCCATAGCTTGCACCTTCTGGAGATGTGTCTTGTTGAATTTTCGTTTGATGTGTGTGATTGTTATTGCCTGGTTCCTTGCTTGCAGGTTTGTTCCTCAGAAATTTGAGGAGCTTTTTTCCAAGTACGACCGTGACAGGAAGGGAGGCCTGACACTGATGGAGATGCTCGAGATGACTGAAGCCAACCGGAATGTCATGGACTTTTTTGGCTGGTACGTGCGAATCTTACCTGCCGCTCTGTTTCCCGCTCCAGTGACCTGACCCATTTGTTTCCCTTTGCCCACATACTGTCATCACATGTGACCCCCTTTACCCACATACTGTCATCATCACATGTGATTTTTCTTGTGTATCCAGGGTGGCATCGAAGTTGGAGTGGGGTGCCACTTGGTTGCTGTGTCGCGATGACAGGGGAGTGGTGACTAAGGAGCAGATTCGCGGGATCTTTGATGGCAGTTTCTTTGAGCGCATGGAGAAGCAGCGGCGTGTGGGGATCAAGGAATACAGGCAGTACTAGAGCATGTAGTTTATGGAGGGATGTGGTTGTAACATGTAGATATGGAGTTTGTGTCATCGATAATCACTCGCATTACAAGTGTCAAAAGTTCAACGCAACCATGTCAGAAATGAGTAGATGTAACATGTTTCTAAGACAGGTCCAGTAACCATACCACAACACAGGTGGTAGCATGAGCAAATGAGAAAGGTCTTGACAAAAGACCCCATCCCCCCAGCAACTGGAATCAGACTTTCCCCTGACGAATTCTCCTGAATCCCCCTTTTCTTGACCCCTTTCCTGATGCCCTCTCAGCCTCCATCCCAGCTTCACCTCCCCTCATGCTCAACTCGGAATTTCCAAGTCCTGGTGCCCCAGCCACTCGTTGAATGTGCCTCCCACCACCCATGCCAGCCCTCTGCATCCCCGGAATAGACGCAAATCTGGGAGCCTGGGAGAACTGGGGCTTGTCTAGAGAATTTCGATGCACGGCAAGGGCTGTCTGTGCCTGCGGCTGCAGATTGCTGCTGTCTTGCAGAGGGGCGGACATCAGGGCCACTTCTGTTGTTTGCCTTCGTGCCAGGCGGATTCGCGAGTCTGCTGACAAGGCTGGAGGGAGAGAAGGGCGCGAGTAGCCTGAGGGAGCAGTCCGTTCTGAAAGATGAGCAGCTGGTGCATTCTGGGGGTGGGCGGATCTGGAAGGAGGGAGCTGCAGCTCAGGCAGCATTTGCACAGCCTGCATCTTCTGCTGCTCTTCCCCCAAGTCGCCTGCGAATCTGGTAGCATCCCCATTTGTGCCCTTACCCACACCGCTTGAGAGGCGCTCTAGCTCTACAGCCCATGCTGCCGATGCGCCTTCCTCGATATCATCTTCGTCCCCTGAGGGTAAGAGTAAGCCATGGCGCGGCGGCAGCAGCAGCAGCAGCAGCACCAGCAGAAGTCCGCACAGGAGCAGTTGCACGGATTGCTACTGACCCTGTAGGATCATCAGCAACATTCGTCTCCATTTCAGAAGATGCAGGAGGTGTGCTCAGGAACGTTCGTTTTGCTGGTAGTGACTCAGCTGGAGCATGCACTGCAGCTGCAGTACCAACAGCAGCAGTGGCAGCAGCAGCAGCAGCAGCAGTGGCAGCAGTGGCAGGGGCAGTTGCAGGGTCAATTCCCATTCCTGTTTCAGCTGTGCTATCCAGACGACCCACAGTCCCGTCCCCTGCTCTCCCTGCCGCATGCCCTGGAACAGCATGCGAAGTAGTGATGATGAAACGAGAGGCGGAGGGCCGGGAAGGGGACGGCGCACGAGGGGGTGCAGAGAGGTACGGGAAGAGCTTGCGGTGGGAGGGGGAGGATGAGATAGCGCCAGAGGCGGGTGATTGGAAGGAAGGTTGTGTGGTGCGCGGTGGGGGAGGGGTGGGGACGAAGGGCGGCCGCAGGGGCTGTGTTGCAGCAGATGCAGCTTGTTGGCCGCTTGCCTGGTGCCCAGAGGAGAGCTCCTTTTGAAACTGCATCTGCTGCTGTTGCAGCTGCGGTGGCAGCTGCTTCCGCTGCTCCTTGTTCATCTGATGAATCTGTGCTGCCTTCTGCCCTCTTGAGGCCCTGAATCGCCACTCCTCAGCAGCGGAAAGATCCGAATCCGTACCATGCCTCATCCCCACCTTCCCAGACTCCCACTCAGGATCCATTGAGGCAGAAACAGGAAGCGCCCCCCTCGCAGCCCCAGCGCCAGTGCCAGTGCCGGCAGCAGCAGCAGCAGCTCCAGCAGAAGCAACGAGCAACGAAGAGGCAGACCTCCTCCTCTCCCTTCTCCCTGAGACAGCAGCGAGCTGAGCAGGGGAACTCCCGCCTGGACTATCAGATGTGGTGGCAGCGGTGGCTGATGGTGACGAGGACGAGGGGGAGCGTGAGGAGGAGCGAGAGCCATGCGAGACAGGGTGCAGGTTGGAGCCCTGCCGGCCTGGAGGTATGGGCCTGTGGGGGGCAGGGGATGGGAGCAGGTGGGGTGTACAGATGCATGGGGCGGGTTAGATGAGTTGATCTTTAAAAATGAGAAGATTTCGAATATTTAAGGAAGATGAGTAAGAAGGCAAGTGTTGCACCTGCCTGCGTAGGACTGGAACATAAATCCCTCACATATCCCGTAACCCAGAACCATGCCCATCACCCCATACACTGGCCCACACCCATCTCCATGCCCATGCACACGCCAATGCCGTGTCCCATCCCATGCACAACGCCATGATATCCCCTCACTGGAAGTACAAGCTCTCTTTGAGCAGCCACTGCAGGCGCTGATGGCAGCCCCGCTCCACCTCCACTGGGTTGAACGCCTCCTCCTCCAGCTGGTGAGGGCGTGCAGTGCAGTGCAGTACGGTTTGAAATCGAATTGCAGTGTAGACAGGAGCACAGAACACAAGAAAGACATAGAAAAAGGTTGACTGATTTGACAACAGCAGGGAGAGCTAGTAAAGGTGATGAGTGTCAACGTGTTGATTGAGTAGCCATTGTGCTCCCCAGCCCAACTTTGCTCATCATGACTGATCCTCCCTCCACCCCCCTCTCAGAGACACTTCAAGGGATTCTCTAAGACATGCCAAACACCAGCAACCACGTGGCATCGGGTGCTCCAAAATAGCGGCCAGCAGGGCAGTCACCTGAGACAGTGCCAAGTCGACAGCAGCAGACACCTCTTCCCCTTTCTCCTCGTCCTCCTCCCCATGGTTGCTGACCGGCCGTGGCGGCAGAGGCAGCAGCTCCTCTGCTGAAGCCACCCGCTGAAGTCAAGGCGGACAGGAAACAGATGTCAACATCAGAATCAAGCAGCTAGACGAGACTGGAATTAACAGGCAGACAGGAAAACAAAGGGGGTAGGCAGGATTTGCTTTGAAAAAGGGAAGCATAGTTGACTGGACTTACCCGCAGGAGGAGAGATCCAGCTTCAGTGGGCAGCAGGAGGTAGTAACAGGGGAAGGAGACGTCCATGCGCGTGTCTGCATCGACGAGGCTTGAGCACAACAGCCCGTTGTCCTGCTGGTTCAGCGAGCGGCACAGCGCAGCGAAGGCTGCAACACCAGGGACAGGGCAAGTTCCATCATAGGACGGAATAGAGGGGTTGAGGGAATGAGAGAAGGGGGGGGGACATAACAATTATGTGTAAAGGAAGATGAAGAGGCAGAGGAAAAGTTGGGAGTGAAATGTTTTGCGTGATCCATTCTTACCGTGCTCGTTTCTCTCCATCTCGGAGAGCTCTGTGCTGTTGGAGAAGTCAAGCTCGAGATTCTGTGATGGCATGAGGACGTGCGGCAGACCAAATATGAGACCTGCACACACACGTGCATCCACACACACAAACACACACAGATAAGAGATACACACGCACATACACACACAGATAAGAGAGACACGCACATACACACACAGATAAGAGAGACACACGCACATACACACACACGAGCGTGCGTACATACACACGCACACACACACGCATGCATGCACAAAATTGCACATAAGCACACACACACCTGAGCACAAATCAGCAAATACTTCATCTCTCATCTATGGTTACTCCAGCAAATACTGAATCAGCACAAGCACAGCACATTCATAGTGCGTCTGCAACATGAATTGTGACTGCGTCTTCCCGAATTGAGTGAACTGATTTCTTGCCTGCACTACCTTCGCTGACTGACGACAGCGGCACCCGCTTGACAACAGTCAGAGGCACAGCAGGGGTGCCCCCTCCATGCAGCCGAGGAGCCTCCATAGCCGCCTTAAACGACGGCAAGTGCAGCAACGTTCCCCTCCCTCCACTCGCGTCACCCATTTTATCCCTCCCCACCCTCCCGCCCCTCGACCTCCCCCTGGACCCCCTCCTCCAAACCTCCTCCTCCCCTCCACCGCTCTCCCTTGACATTCTGCTAGCGTCAACCCCAGGATCCCCGTCCCATGAACCACCGCCACCACTGGCCCGTCTCCCTCCAGTGCCTGGGGCTCCCAGCAGCACAGTGTTGCTGGTGACGTCACTGGCGTCAAGCCTTTGCCCCGTGACAGGGCAGCGCAGGCTTGGGGGCTTGGCAAGAGGCAGGGAAGGGTTAGAGGGGCGAGCTGAGGGGGGGCTGGGTCTGCTGTTCGAGGGGTTGGGTAAGGTGGAAGGGAATGGCAGAGGCACCCCGTGACAGCGGCAGGTCTGGCAGGGAACGGGAGAAAGGTTGAGGGTGAAGGTTATGGCAGTAGGAAGCATGGAAACACATAAGTCTGCGCGTGCTTGCAAATTATTGGAGGAGCGTTCTGTCTATCTTGCTGTATTTTTCGCATCTATCAAGAAGGTGAAGTGATGAGGGAACTCAAGTGGCATGTGGGCATTTCGCACATCGCACAGCATGCGCTGCACGCACTGCAGCATACCAGGCACGGCTGAATGGTGTCATGCAGTTGCAGCACCGTTGGATGTGCAGAGCAGGTTATGCTGAGCGGAGCCGCTGACCTCCCTGCCCCTGCACTGGTGTTGTCTCCCTGAGTCCTCTTGCTTTTTGCCTTCGACGTTCCGAACTGAAGGGCGAAGTCAATGGTGGTGTCTGCGCCACATGAGTGCAGGTGCTGCAGCCAGCGCTTTGTGTGAGCATCCAGCTGCACGGGATCTGCAAGGGTTATGGGACAAATCCACAAGGTTGAAACGTTTTTAAAGCAGGGAGTGTGCCCAATCTCATCTGCGGCTGCAGCTCAGCAAAACGATGTGTTGCAGGAGCCTGTCTCTTGAGTGGGTGAGCGCGTCCATGCTACATTGAAACCGAGACAAGTAGGGGACTGAAAATTGAGATTTTTTTGCGGAGGTAGGGAAGGTTACAGATTAGAACAAATGGCGGAACAGCGTACCGCATGGCATGCAGTGCAGGGAGCAGTTCTCATAGCCGGACACAGCGTCCTCCAGCTCCTCCAGCCTTGATGAATAGCTGGTTGGAGGAGACCCAACATCGACTGAACACCCTGCAAACAGTTGTCTGTTAATTCCTGATTCGTCCACCGTGTCACCATCTTGGGATCACGGTATACGTTGAGTACGAAATATGCAATTATTCGGAATACCAGACCAATCGCATCCTGTGGTGGTTTGCCCCCTTGTTGCCCGCAGCAGGCTGGACCACAAGGAAGTCAACAGAGACACATCGAGTGGCAGCTTCCTGCAGAGCGAACTCGGAGTGAACTTTCTTGCATGGAATCAGACAAGAGCAGATAGCTCTAACAGTCCAGACACGTGCAAGAACGTGAAGTGTCACAACCTTCATCTCTCACCCCCCTCCCCCCCCTCTCCCCCTTTCTCCCCCCTCCCCTCCCACCCCCCCCCCCACACATACACACACACACCATCACGGCTGAGTGGAAGCTCTCATCAGAGGGGTCCTGCAGTATTGACCCACAGACGAAAATGACTTTGCAGCTTGCTCCATCCAGCAGCTTGGATGCAGCAATCTGCGGTACTGGCTCTCCATTGTCAGCTTCTTCAACCAAGCTTCCCCGAGCATTCGACTGGGTCGTCATTCGCAGCAAGGATGCGAGAAAAGCCACTGGAAAATCACAGGGTAGGAAAGCATCCATGGTTAAGAGACGAAGAGGGAAACGAAAAAATGTGGCTGATCACTTACTAGAATAACGACCATCATTGCTTACTCTGACTGCCAACTCCTCCACTGAGAAGCTGTTCAGAACCACCAGCTACTCCTCCCGCTTCCATAAGAAACGGGTTCAAGGGAGCCGCATCAGAGCCGCCAGAGTTATGCGGCGAGACGCTGAGGCTTCGTTGTAGCCTCTGTGCCAACGAGGTTGCGGACTGAGCAAGGTTTGCGGCTGAGAGCGCATGGTTGAACTCCCTCAAGCTGAACGTTTGGTTGGGTTTCTCGGCTGGGGGATACACCTGGACAAGCTGCGAGAAGCAGAGAGACGGGTGTTATACTCAATGAAGAACTAACATTGAAGGTGAAACTGTTTAAGAACGAGAGGAGGTGAACATAAGATTGATGTAAGACATTTTTTCGAAAACATCTACCTCAAAGTGGCTGGCCTCAGGAACCCATCGGTTGTGGTGGACTGATACGCTCGGAGTGGCGTTTCCAGCGTAGTTCCACCGATGAGGCTGGCCGATAGCAATCAAGTGTCCGAAACGCTGAAGAGCCTGAAAACGTAGAACGAAGTCAAGTAAGGCCCCCAACGAAATGCCGCGCGGTATTATTCTCTCTGAGGTTTCCCTTATAACCTGAATATGAACGCCACCTAATTCAGGCCAAGTCTCACTTCTTTGACGATCGTCAGCGACCTGCCGTCGAGGGTTGAATCTACCACGAAATGAAGAGACGCCATCGCGAGCACGAGCGTTACTCAGCTATGCCCCAAGATAGCTTCTTAATGTAGTGTTGTCCTACACTCTAGTGATCACAAGTTAACTTCTTACTACAGACGCTAGAATTGGTGGGTTTCTGATACAGCAAAGGCTGCTTGAAGCAGTGCATTTGCTGGTGACTGGTAGCACTCCAACGTACTCTTCCAACAGACATATTCCGAGAATCCGTATCAGGCAAATTCAGGTGGTTTTCTTCGCTGCACAAGCTGGAACAGGACCTGCATTGATGCTCTCTCGCTCGCCTGTTCTCTTCGCCAGGGCCTGTGGACAACGGACAATCTCAAGGTGCCTTGAATTCCTGAATTGGCTGGGCTCTCCTCCCTTCGCGGATGTGAGGAGAAACCAAGGGATGACCATGAACGGCTCATAATTTTGCCACACTCCCAAACTCCAAGGTGGCTGTTCCGCGGCTCCAGCTGGGGTAGTTCAAAACGTGAGATAACATTTCTGTACACATTTATTCTACTCGACCGATCCACTGAATTGTGAAGCACCAGTCTTGTAAGGAAAAACCCTTTTTCCTTACTGGGGTTTACTCAACCGCGTACAACCCCAACTTTCGGAAGTGCACGTTCGGCCGCTTTGCTTGCTGCCGAAGCAACCTCGCGTCGCCTTCGGTTTTCCTTTGCCCAACCTGCACTCAACCTCGTGTTCCCGAGGTTCCCGCCTAGTTAGGTTGCCTCGCTATATAATCGCATGTCTTTCATTGTATCGTGAATCCATGTTAGAATATATATTTATATATATTTATGTACCTGCCTGTAGCTGTAGCTTTAGTGTAGTTATAAACTCTTTGTGTTGGTGGTTCACCTCCTTTGTCTCCTACTTGTACCCACAATTCCATAGTGAGACCCCCTCCTTTGTTTGGCCAACACTCTCTCCCACCAAACCCTAAGGCTCTCTCTAGCTACTATTCTAACATGGTACAGAGCTGTAAAACGGTCTAAGGACCTATTTTTTCTTCACGGAACATGGGCCCGCCCGTCCTAGCGCGAAATGCGCTTCCTTTTTTTTTTCGTCCGCCCGTTTGCGCCTGTTGCGAACTGCGCGTGGCGCAAGTTTCACCCTGCCCGTCCGAGTGCGTTCCGCCCTGCCCGTTCCGTCCCGTCCGTGGCGCCCTGCCCGTCGCGCCCCTCGTCGCGCCTCCCGTCGTCTGCTGACCCCCGCCCCCCCGTCGCCAGCGACGAGCGTCGGCGCAGGCGCCAGCGACTAGCGCCAGCGCGGACGCCTGCGCCCGACGCCGTCTCAATCGCCAGCGCCAGCGCGGACGCCTGCGCCGGCCGCTTCTCACGCCCGTTCCCCCCCCTTCCCTCTTCCTCTTTCCCTGCAGCAAGTGTTGCTGTAGGGGGGGGGGGGGGGAGGAGACAGGTTCAGGGGGGAGGGAGGGAGGAGAAGAGTGTGGGGGGACGGGAGTTCTGGGGGCGGAGGGTGTGAACCACCAGTAGCTCGTCCCTCCCCCACTCTCCTTCCCTCTTACTCTCTCAGCACTTGTTGCTGTCGGGGAGAGGGGGGGGGGGGAGAGATGCTAAGGGAGGGTAAGAGAGAGTGGTGGAACCAGTAGCCACGCATCTGCAGCTGCCGTCCACTGCTATGTGGCACCTACTTCTGCAGCCCCTGACGCTTCTCTCTCTTCGTTCGTCTTCTTTGCTGTTGAGCTGCAAACTAAGCGCGCCACAGCACATCGTCTTCGTTCGTCTTCTTTGCTGTTGAGCTGCAAACTAAGCGCGCCACAGCACATCGTCTTCGTTCTCTCTTTCTTGCCTCAGGGCTTGCTGCAGCTGTCTCTGCCACCACTGCACTGGTTGTCATTGCACTTGCCTCCTGTTGCTGCTTTCTCTGTTCGTGGTGTACCCATCCAGGAGTTGTTGCTGCACAAGCTCCTGCTGCAGGCAGTTATGGGGGAGTGTTAGAATATATATTTATATATATTTATGTACCTGCCTGTAGCTGTAGCTTTAGTGTAGTTATAAACTCTTTGTGTTGGTGGTTCACCTCCTTTGTCTCCTACTTGTACCCACAATTCCATAGTGAGACCCCCTCCTTTGTTTGGCCAACACTCTCTCCCACCAAACCCTAAGGCTCTCTCTAGCTACTATTCTAACAATCCATTGAGTCACAGCCTCGTTATTCGTTATTCCGCGCAACTCTGTTTGACAACTCATAACACCTGGTATCAGAGCTACTTTCCTAGTTCACCCCGCTTTTCCAGGGTAGTTTAGAGGCACGGGTGTGATTGGTACGGTGGGCTGCAAAGCGGTTGGTTGCAAAGTTTATTAAATTAAACTTGCCCGACCCCGATAGCTTTTGCGCTTGCACTGTTGCCGGATAGTCACGGATACCCACTTGCCTACTAGACGTAGCTTGCGACTCATGGATCAGGCGGCATTTGACGCGTTGATGCAGCAAGTGGCGGAGATGTCGGCAGGCATGAAGGCGTTAACGACAGAGGTGGAGAGACTACGTGAAGAAAACAACGAGCTACGCCAGGCGCGAGGTGAAGCGCGCCAGGAGTCGCCCGCTGAAGAAGGCGAGAGCACTGGTCAAGCGGTGAGCGGCAATCCGTTGGACGAGCTCACACGCGGCTTCGAAGAAGAAGATAGGCAGCGAGCGGCGGCAGCGACAACAGTTGCAGTGACAACAATCAAGATAAAGCCTACGAGCCCGCCCCCGTTCAACCCTACCGACAAGAACACTACTGTTAAGGGGTGGTTGTTCGGCGTGGAGGTGTTCTTCACTGCAGCGAATGTCAACGACGACGCCACGCGTATTAATTACGCGGTATCGCTTCTGCGAGGCCCGGCGCTTGAGTGGTGGCGACGAACCTTGGACACGGGGACCCCGACAGGTGTGACACATGCGGCAGACGGGACTTCGGACTCTGCTATTGGGAGGGCATCATCAATATTCGGTGTGGCCACAATTCGCACGTGGAAGCAGTGGGGCGCAGCCTTACGAGAGCGTTTCGAGCATGTATCCGCCTCGGAACACGCTCGCATGAAGCTGCGTACCTGGTCACAGTTGGCTTCTGTTCAAGACTACACAGCGTCGTTTATGGCGCTCGCGGATCAAGTGGACGACATGGCGGAAGCTGAACGGTTGGATAAATACATCAGCGGCTTGAAGTATGAGATACAGTACGAGGTGCGCCGCAGCCGTCCAGCAACATTCAACGAAGCCGTTGTCAGAATAATATTTAGTTTTATATATTGTTGCATAACTGCCTGTAGTGTAGAATACTGTAGTCATATCACTTTCTGTTTGGTGGTGCACCTTTCTTGATTCCTGCCTATTTGTATTGCTCACACTATAGTGAACATCCCCTTTTGGCCAACTCACCTTCGTTCCTCTCGACATTCTCCTAGGCTAGGGTTTCTCCTAAGCCTAGGATCCTCTACCTACTTCAACATGTTATCAGAGCTACTAGATCCTCGGGCCTAAGATTTTTTTTTTTTTTTGTCACTCTTATGGCGAGCGCCTCGCTGGTTCGTTGCGCCACGCTTGCCTCGCCGCGCTCTCACTGGCAAAATTTCGGATTTCGGACTTGCTGCGACCCGAAGCGCCGGCGCCTGCGCCAGCGCGTGCGCCAGCAACCTGCGCCCGCGCGTGCGCTAGCAACCAGCGCCCGCGCGTGCGAAGGTACCAGCGCGTGCGCCGGCGACCTGCGCCAGCCCGTGCGCCAGCTGCCAGCGCCCGCGCGTGCGCCAGCGACCTGCGCAAGCGCCAGCGCGTGCGCCAGCTACCTGCGCCAGCGCGTGCGCCAGCGCCAGCGCCTACGCAACACGGCCGCCAGCACCGGCACCAGCGCCTTCTGCGAGCGCCAGCGCCAGCAGCAGCGTACGCCGCCTCCCCTCCCTTCCGCGACTCTCGTCGTGGGGGGGGGGAGGGGGGGGGGGAGGCGCGAGGGTGGTTGACGCCTCTCTGTTCGCTGCTGCGCCACACCGCTAACCTGCCACACGCCGTCCCTTCTCTCTCCCTGCTGCGCGTGCAGCAGTGGGGGGGGGGGGAGGGTTTGGGGTGGCGGGTGTGAGCAAGAAGCTGCCGCCCCTCCTCTCTCTCTCACTGCCGCACGTGCCGCTGTGGGGGGGAGAGTGAGGGGGCGACGGAAGTCAGCCGGTCATCTGCTGCTGTCGCTCGCTGCTGATGTGGCACCTCCAGCTGCCGCCCCTGCCGCCACCTTCCTTTGCTGCCTTTGCTTCTGTTG